TATACTCCTAAACTAGATTACTTTTTCAATTTGCTCTACAATTATGTCTCCGAAAATTACATAGCTTTATTTCTGATAATATAAATCAGTTGTCGAATAACTGAATTTTTTTTATCTGTAACACAAATATTAGTTCTATTTTAGAGAAGACATTGACTAAGAGAAGTAAAATATCAGTGAATGTACAAATCAAACCACTCGAGAGTTCATAATATTTTAGAAAAAAGCAAAAATTCCTTATTATTTGAGCAATGTAGCGTTTAAAACTAATTAACTTAGAATCTCAAAGAAGTTCAAAAAATTAAATTCAATCGTAAACAGAAAACTTGCGCAGATTTTGGTATAATTGCTTCAAACACTCTCTCTGCCCATGTATTCTTTTAGAATAAAAACTAAACAGAGATCTGTTATTTTTTCCATCAGCCATAGTTTTGCCATCATCCCACCTTCATGCAATAGTTTTGAGATGTGTATTTAAAAGCAAAATATGTGAAGTTGAAAATGGTCCTGATTTGAAGCGGAAAAGGGTTGGAAAATTTTTAATCCTTATAAAAATGAAAATGGTGGGAAAAATATGCAGAACAGCATTTGAACGAGACAGAAATTTAAGAGATGCTAATCATTTTGAAAAAGAATTAACCAAACATATACTTAGCGATAACTTTAAGGAACTAACTGAATATCGGACAATATAATGAATAGAACATGCTGAAAAGTAATTTACAATCCACGATGTGTTTGATGAATTGCAAGGGAAGTTTACTCCTCAAAAATAGCTCTATTGCGATTCTAACTTATTTTGCATGTAGAACACGAGAAGGCTTGAATAACAGACATTTCGTTGTTCATTGCAACTTGTAGCTTTGTAGTATACCGTAGCTGAATGCAATGAAATTCCTCAACATACTTAACAAGATTTTTAAAATCTTTAATATTATATGAGATAAATCTTAAGATTAAGATTATATGTTTAAAATCTTAAGATTATATGATAACGAAACCAAGAAAAGAATTGAATAAATTTGATAGAACTAATAGCATTTATTAAAACAATTGTTTGTTTTATTATTTTTCAAGGGGATGTGGGGAATCGATAAAATAGATAAGTCTTGACCAGGAGTGTCAACAGATCGAACAATACATATACAGAGATTAGAGACGACTTATTTGATACGTTTTACTAATATTTAAATTATTGTGTAGTATTGTTATATTTATAATAATACATCATAAGTTTTTATGACAGAATTATGGACAGTATAAATAATGGAACAAAATAATTTCAGATGGGACTGAATTATGAGTTATATAATTAATATGACATAATAATTTCATATATGACTGAATTGTGGAAAATATAATTAATAGGACATAATAATTTCATATATGACTGAATAGTGGACACTATAATTAATAGGACATAATAATTTCATATATGACTGAATTGTGGACACTATAATTAATAGGACATAATAATTTCATACATGACTGAATAGTGGACGCTATAATTAATAGGACATAATAATTTCATATATGACTGAATTGTGGACACTATAATTAATAGAACGATAATAATTTTATATATGACTGAATTGCGGACCCTATAATTAATACTAAACTAAACTCCTTGGCGCGACAACCCATAGAGGACCAAGGCCTACTGTGCCTATTTCCTTGACCTTTGGGCTCTGAGGTGCAAGCATGATTGGGACTCATTTTATCGACCCACTGAAGGGATGAACAGCTCAACCGTGATCGGCCTAAGGATCACTATAATTAATATGACATAATTTCATATATGACTGCATTTTGAAAAATAAGTGGATGACTTAGGTTCTACTACAAGCAGAAACTTTGCCTTCAAATAACTAACATTTTTTGCAAGAATGCACTTTATGGCAAAATAATGTGGATGTTAAGAGAAAATGTTAAACGACAGTGCTAAGAAATATGTTAAATTGATGCAGTATTTCAATGGGTTAATAGCTGTTGGTGGAGGAAAAAAAAACAATTTGTGCTTCGTAAAATAAGAGATCATAGCAAGTTATATATCTGGATTGCATTTAAAAGAAAATATACGCAGTGATTTTAATTTCTGCTGCGATAAACATGTGAACGTATAGGATGAATGTGTGAGTTGATAATTCATTTAATATAATTTTTAATTAATAATAACCGGTATTTTTAAATCTTTGTCTTAAATTCATTATATAATCATTGCAAAATTAAAAATTCTGGCTCAATTCAGCACTGGTTAAATTCGTCCAATTGAACTTAAACATTAGACATTTACATATACTCAAATGGAATAAATTGAGAGGAAAGAGTGAATATATATATACACAAAATAATCCTTTAAGTATTTATTGAGAAATTAAAAAAATGTCAAAAACTAAAAAAATCTTCCATTATTGTAGGGTAGTGTGTGTATTTATATATGTATATATGGCACAATAAAGACAAAAGGAATAAAAAGAAAAAGGAGAAAAACGAAGAAAATTAAGCAAATTATTAAGTTTTATGCTCTGCGCATAAGCTGCAAGCATGAAGAACTCATAAAATTCGTTACAAAAATAGAGAAAACATGGAAAATAAAGATTAATGAAAAGAGTAGACAAAAATTATTAAAATATAATATAAAAATTTTTTTAAAAAATATAAATTAAATAGCCTGAAAAAAAATGAAAAGATATAATTTCTTCATCAGCTCACACGATTATATCAGCGAAAAGGAGTGCTTTCTTATATTCTATCAATATGGTCAAAGCAAAAAATATCAATACAATTGCTCGATTCGTTGTTAACTTGAAATAAACTATTAGGACGCCCAATTTTTGGAGTTTCTCAGCACCAAATTCGGAGAGGTATTATACCACAGTTTTTACAGAATATGGTGATAAACATTGCACATTAAAATTTCCTCTGATGGAAAAATAATAATTATTAATAAATAAAATTAAATTAATAAATGAAATAAAAATAATAAATAAATAAAATAAGAATATATTAATGAATAAAAAATATTAATAAAATGAAAACAAAATCGTAATAATAAAACTACTTAACATTTATTTTTCACAATGCTTCAAAACATCACCTTTCATTTCTTTCTATATTATTTTACTATGCACATTCATTTTCCTATTTCTATTTATAATATTTACTAAAAGTTCAAAATTATATTTCTTTATCATATTCGGATTTTTCTTACTTTTTTACTACACGTGCAGCAGATATTTTTCGCAAAATAAAATCTATATCCTGTTTTTCAAATAAAAGTGAAATATTCTTTAAAAACAGTCATATCTTTTGGTGGTTTTTTTCATATTTAATTCGAACGCTTCAACTCTTTTATTGTAAAATTTTTTCTTCTTTCAAGTTTTTCATAGAAAGATAAATCGTGGTTGAAATAGCTGGAGGCCACATTTTCCATATTCGCTCTCTCTTTATTGTTGGTTTCATTTTTCACTCTGTTATCTTAGATTTGCGCATAGAACGCGAGATTTCTAAACAACGTTGAGTTATTTCGTATATTTGGGGTCCGTTTACTTCAAAAGTATTGGATATATGTTTCATTTTTAGACTTTTTCAGTTTCAAACAATTGTATTCCTATCACTTTTATTTCAAGTTTCAAATACTGTTTCACAAGCATTATTGTACTCGGTTAAAAAAAAAATAAAAAAAGAGAAAAAGCTGATTTTGATGCATTTCCTCTCCAGGGTTATTTTTATTTATTGAAGTTTTGGATGGAGAATGTTACCACAATTTTCAGAATATTTTGTTACAGGACGAAGGAAATTACGTAAATATTGTTTCAAATGTTTTAATTTTAGAGCTACATAAACGTATGTACTATGTAAAGAATCATTAAAATCAATACACCCTTTATTTATTTATTTATTTTAACAGAAACAGGCAAAATAAGGTACTTTAATGTGAAATACTGCTTTCAAACATTCACTGCTTTCAATCACTCTTGTTGCAACTATTGATCTTAAAAAGGGGATAAAAAAAAACTTATAACACTTGAAAATATTAAAATTTAATTTGCTTCAGAAACTTATGAAGGTAGAGTAAGACAAATAACCGTAGAAAAAAAAAGAAAAATTACAGTAAGCAATTGGAATGCACGTTACCTTTATTTATTTATTTGATACTCCAAATTTGCTGTTTTGTTTTTTTCACTTTAATCATTTCACGTTAAGTTTGCAGAAAAAATTATCTACGTGATGATTAACGTTGAACTGTAATTAATGACTTTTGCAATGAATCAAGGTCCTGAAAAGTTTTTATGCCGGCATTGTGGTAAAGAAAATAAGTTCCTAGTACTTCAATGGAATTCATTGCATCTTGAAAAGATGGGGGAACAACTTCTTGGCATTCCTCGTCATCCTCGCTATCGCTATGCGGCTCGGACTGTGTGTTCTGAATAAGCTCATCAACAATGCAAATCGCTGACGTTACTACATCATCGTCGCAATCCATGTATTCATCAAAAGTTGTCTCTGTTGCGAGCAAGTTCCAATCATCATCATTGATTATTGTATCATGATCGCTTACGTCCTCACGCCCATTATCATCGGTTGTTCGATGGACAAATCAGGTTTTTATAAATTAGTTCTTTATTGTTGTCTATGTTACCTGAGACCATGCCAGCGAAATCATATTCATTGATTGGAGAACACTTATTTTCTTGGGATTAGGCTCTGCAATGCTTCGAATAGCGAGTTGAACTTACTGCTTTCTGTACTGTAATTTTAGATTCCTAATCACGGCTGAAGCGCACTTGTGCAGTTTGCAGGAAAAAAGTTAATTTTTACATTTTCCAAGAAATTAGTATCCGATGGGTGAGCTGGACATAGGTCAATCAATAGCAAAATTTTTCGTTTTTGCCTCTTCAATACATTGTCTAGTTTTTTCAGCCATCTAGTCAAAATTGCGGTCGTCATCCAAACATTCTTATTTGCATCATAATCCAACGGAAGCGTTCTGATATTCTTTAGACATCTGGGATGTGGGATTTTTTGATTTTCCTACCACCAAAAGAGTGATCTTTTCCATCAGAGTTTACACAAAGCAGCACAGTAAGGCGATCTTTGCTTTTTTCCCCTCCTTTACATTTTTTGTCTTCATAAGCTAACATCCTATTCGGCATTAGATGATAAAAAAGACCCGCCTCGTTGGCATTAAAAATGTCTTTAGTTAGGTACTCACATATTAAGCTTCGCAAATTTTTGCGCCCTTCTGCGACAGAATCAGCTGGAACAATTTTTGATTCACCACTTACAACGTGACACGTGAACCCGTTCCAAGCTTTGAATTTCTGCAACCATCCTGCTGTAAAGCCGCTATCTGTGAGATTCAATTTCATGGCGATTTCTTTAGCTTTTTCCATCAACACTGGACCATTTACTGGAATATTTGACGCACGACACGGATTGAAAAATTGGACCAAAACCTTCTCCATTTCAGGAAATTTACCCTCCTGCACTCGCATTTTCTTTGATGACGAAGATCTGCAGGCTTTAGCATGTTCCTCAATTTTTTGACGAGCATGAATAATAGTCTTTAAAGTAGAAACCGGAATACCCATCATTTTAGCCAAGTCAGCTTTTGACCTTCCGGTAAACCTCTATCGAATTCCTTCAAAATTTCAATTTTTTCCTTCACTGAGATAGACATTCGTTTTCGAGAAGTGTCTGAGAAAAGATTTGGACGAAACAGTATGTATAGAGTAGAATTAAAAAAAAAAAAAAAAAAAAAAAAACGATCTGTAGTGCTTGTGCACTGATAAGGAAAGAATGACCTTTACTAGCTGTAACAATAAAGCGGGTTGGGGAATCTGATCACCTTCGAAAAGGATCGTCCACTCCCAGTACAATCCATTATACCTTTGTTTTTCAACCCCACCATATATATATATATTGCCCAAAAGCAGTCAAAATGACGGCATTGTAAAAGAATAACTAATGTGTAAAGAAATTTGTTTAATTAATTTTTAATATTTTTTATATTATTTACAATTATATAACAAGCTATTAGTAAATATTAACAATAAAAAAATTAACTTCACTTAGAAAGAAAATATTAACTTATGCATTATTATTTGTGCATTTTTTGCAAATGAAAAAGAAGTTAAAAAGCAGTCTAAATGACTTCCTTTAGGCAACCTAGTGTTAATATTTTTCTTGTATTATTCGGATTGTAGGCAGCGAAAGTTTTTACTTTATTTTCAACTGCGCAATCTTCAAAGTAAAAATTAAAAAACTTGAGTAAAAAAAAAAAAAAATTTAACTAAATCGATCGAATAGTTTTAGAGAAATAAAAGCTTCAAAATACGGCTATATTGCAATTTTATTACTCAGAAACTATTTAACCAATTTAGTTTAAATTTTTTATCCTTTTAGACAAAATTACATAGCTTAAGGTTATATAAAAATGTATATACGCATTGCATTTGTAAGGGGTAGGGTGCATGCTAACGACTCGAAATCATATAGCAATGCAGGGTTGGAAATGCTTCCCTAAAGCGGCAGATATAGTTGCAAAAATAGCAGTAGTTGCCGGAGAATTTCGAGATGACATTAGATTATTCCAGAATGTTAATTCCATGCGCCTTCCTCCGACTTCAGTAGAAAGAAACTTCAAACACTTTCTTTGACCCATGTTCCCTTAGTTTTTGTACAATTATTATCAAAATCCTATTATTAAAATAAATATTCAGTTATACACAAGAGTTGCGTATACCAGAAAGCATTTCAAACCATGCATTGCTATATGATTTCTTCCTTCATCTGGCACCTCTTAGAAGTTCTGAAACGTTTAACTCAAACACTTAATATTTGTAAAACTCTAAGCAAAAGTAAAAATCACGCACATTAGCAATCGCAAGTTAATATTTAAGCGAGGTAAAAACAAAAGCGCTATCAAAATCTAACGAATTACTTCACCGATAAAGAAAAAATATATGGTCAAAACTACTAGAATATGGTAAAATTTACCCTGTTTCTGGCTCTATGGGAGTTCAAAAAATTTCTATCGGCGTGCATTGATCATACGTTTGGAAAAATTAACAATAAAATATAACTTTATGATGTGTGTTAAAATTTGGTAATTTTATCTTGATATGTGTACTAAAGAAGTCAGAATTATAAACAACAGAATCATTTTCAATCAAATGCTTTACATCGTTAGCGAATGCAATTTTAAATAAGCGAATGCAATTTTAATTATTTAAGTAATCGTTACTCTTGAATGCGGTTGACTTGATGCCTTTCAGTAAAAATTCAGTAAAATTAATAATAAACGAATGCAATTTTAATTATTTAAGTAATCGTTACTCTTGAATGCGGTTGACTTGATGCCTTTCAGTAAAAAAAAAAAAAAGAAGAAGAAGAAACGAGGTAGTTAAACACAAACAGCATTCTTTTTCTTTTAATATTTATACTTCACATTGGTATAAAATTTCATTCATATCTTTTATAACACTTATCGCAATTTTTTGAAAATTTAGTTTTTATTTTCAGATTTTGCTTCATTGTCAAAAATTAAATTCAATGCGTTAACTTGTAATATAGTAAGATAAGTACAACGTTATATCCCGTTAAGTCTTGGTCGAACACTTCATCTAGAAATTTTTTATTTTTTCTCAGTTGCCCCTCACCCAAGGACTTTTTTGGAAGAATATTTTACTGATTCTGATAACAGTCACCTTTTTATGTTATCTTAGATCCCATCAACTGTCGTCAAAATCATGCCTTATATTTCTGCTTATGCGTTTTATAGCTTAGGTTACAAGGTGGTAAACACTTTCGCGAGATAAATTTCAGTCAAAGCACTTCATACCAAATTCGGAAAATGGTTTGTTTTAATGTATGGCAATAAAGGAATTACGTAACTCGAATCTTTTCTGAAGATGAAAACTGTTTGAAACTTTATCCATCCAAGTTCTTCTGTTTATGGCAAATTTAAGACTCTTGAAAAATCATAAATTCTTCCTCCACTTCAATAAGAAACGGAAATGTTGACAGGAACTTCAAAAGCAGGGAAACTGGCATAAACACGAGTTAAACAAGAAGCTTTGGTAGACCGATATGTCATCAAATGCAACAGGTTTTATGACTTGGAGGAGTGACATCGGGAGGCCAAATTAAGGTGCTTTGAATCCCTATTTTATAATTTTGCAAAGCATGTAATTACTTTAAAGTGTTTCAAGTGGTTTCCATCTGGAAATGCGTAACTTGATTTATAAACCAACTAAAAATGTATTCTATTGAGTGTTATTGAATACAGAAGATTTTAAACACTTAGTAGGTAAAATAAGGTTATCCTGTCAAGAAGATGATTTTATTCTTACATGAAGTTTCTCTCTTCTGTAGAGTTTTTTTTCTCTCGATGATGATCAAAGCATTTTAATAACATAACAATATTTACTTTTTTTTCTATGGGGCCGTTCATAAAAGATATGACAAGGGGGTACGAAAAGTAGGAAATTTTGCTTACAATAAAAAAAATTTAAATCAGCAAATTAAGTATTTTTTCATCAAAATAAATTGACATCTAGTAATTATATTACTTTATTGTCCAGGGCGAAGAAGCTAACTAATACAGAGAAATATCAAATTTAATAAAAAAAAATGCTTTATTTTTGAAAATATGAAGCTCTAAAGTAAAGAGGATTCATCATTTTTAATGTAAATACAATGTTAAAAGTAATAAATTTTAAAAAGTAGCCCGAAACGTGTGGCAAAAGCCCACAGGACGCCTCCCTCCATCATGAAATCAAAAATGCGAGAGCCATAAATAGTGACATATATCGCAATTGTCATATATGCGAGTGTCATATCATCGCCAAGGAATGTTTCATGTATTTATTATTGATTTAACTTATTGTCAAGGTCTTTTTCTTAATCTTACGTAATCAAATGTGTTGGCGGAAAGGAGTGTGAGAAATAAGAATAAATTTTAATGAAATCAAAACATTTAGCAACCCTTTAATGGTTTTCAAATTCCATGCATATGGGTTCGAGTCCCAGCGATGGCTGGTCGCACCTACCACAGTACTGACATAAAATACCCTCAGTGGTAGACGGTTCATAGGTTAGAGTCCTCTTACCGTCGTGCTAACCGTGGTTCGTGGTTTTTCTCACCATGTAACGCAAATGCGGGTTAGTTCCATCAAAAAGTCCACCACGAAAGCAAAATTCTACCAATACTTGATTCAAAAATTCCCTTGTCTTCTGGATTGGGTTCAAAATTACAAGGCTACGGAATGAACATTAGTAGTCACAAACCCAGAAATTTGGGTCGGCTGTTCAACGATGGTTATAAAATGAAATGGTTAGGCAGATGTAGAATAGCCACCGAAAGTCAGGGCCTTTCAGTAGATTTGTGACGTAAAGCATCCTTAAAAATGCTAGAAAACACTGTAATCAGATTTGTATGAAGAGAAAACTATATTAAATATTCCAAATCTTTTATGGGACTTAATAAGAAAATTTTTTCTTTCATTTTTAAATCATGATTTAACGAAATTTTTATTATCATTAGAATCAACCTTATTCAAATGTATCATTTCTTATTTTATAATATGTTATAAAATAATGAATTTAATCACACATTAGAAAATAAGAAATTATACATTTGTTTGTGAAAAAAATTGCACAACAAAGAGAAATACGTCAGATTACATTAGAAAAAGAGACAAAGAATTATTGACACATTAATAAAATTGCTATGAATAAATAAAGAAGCGTATAATTTAAAAATTAGGCAGAAAAATATAAGAAAAGTATTTTGTACCTTAAGATTGCAAAACTTTAAAATAATATTAATTACTTTCAAGACTAAATTTATCTCTTTTTTTTCAGTCCTCAACTGGTATGAAATGTAAATTCGCAGCAAAACTTTATCTAAAAAAAATTATTAAAAATTAAAATAAAAAAGTATACTTATTTGAAGTCACAAAGAAATTCTTAAGGGAGGAGAANTAAAGAAGCGTATAATTTAAAAATTAGGCAGAAAAATATAAGAAAAGTATTTTGTACCTTAAGATTGCAAAACTTTAAAATAGTATTAATTACTTTCAAGACTAAATTTATCTCTTTTTTTTTCAGTCCTCAACTGAAATGAAATGCTAATTCGCAGCAAAACTTTATCTAAAAAAATTCATATCAAAAGTTAAAATAAAGAAGTATACTTATTTGAAGTCATAAAGAAATTCTTAAGGGAGGAAAAAATAAAAACGTAATAATAATTAAGAAAAGTATTTTGAACCTTAAGATTGCAGAACTTTGAAATAGTATTAGTTACTTTCAAGACTAAATTTATCTATTTTTTTTCAGTCCTCAACTGGTATGAAATGTTAATTCGCAGCAAAACTTGATCTAAAAAAATTCATATTAAAAATTAAAATAAAAAAGTATACTTATTTGAAGTCACAAAGAAATTCTTAAGGGAGGAAAAAATAAAAACATTATCGAAATCTGCCAAATTAAATTAAAACAAAAAAGCGTGTGCACGTACCTATACACCACAACCTGTTTTATTACAGGTAGAAATATGTAGGTGTTTCTAATAAATATCTTTTATTTCTCA